TGTATTCCTTGAATTCCTTTCTCTTCTCTTATTGTTATTATTTTCATTTCCAGAGCTACATAATATAATACTGATAGAAATAGACCTCCTTTTTCATTCTTGAATTTACTTGGAAAGGTTCTAGTCTATCTCTATCATATATGATGTTGGTTTTTGGTTTTTTCTAGGTCTTTTATGAAAAAGGACCTAATATTAAAAGAGGTCCATCCATGACTATACTTTGTAGGGTTTTTATCATGCAAGTGTTATACTTTGTCAAAGGCTTTTTTTCTGCATCTATTGAGATGATCATGTGGTTTTGGATATTTGGAGGTTTAATATGATTATATCAATTGTTTTCCTAATGCCGATCCATCCTCACATACATGGCAAAATTCCACTCTATCATAATGAACAATTTCTCAGATAAATCACTATAGTAGGGGTTCTGTATAAAGCTTTGAATCGATGTTCATTAATTATATAGGTCTATAGTTTTCTTTCATGTTTAATTTTTCCCTCATTTAGGTATTATGCTTATGTGTCTAATAAAAACAATTTTAGTAAGGTGTTTTCTTTCTTACTTTTCAAGAATAATTTGTGAAGTATAGATACTAACTCTTCTTTAAAGGTTTGATAGAAGGCAGAGTCAAGATGACAGAGAAAAGGCAGGGACTCACCTGAGCTCTCCCCCAAACCCCTCTGAATACATTTAAATAATGCCCTAAGACAAATTCAGGAGTGAGAGAACCCACAAAAGGATGGGATAAAATAATTTTCCAGCCAAATGCAACTTAGAAGATTGGCAGAAAAAGCTTGTTGCTTTGAGGTAAGAGTGGAAAACAGTGCAGGCCCAGACCTGACTGCAGCACACACCAAGCCCCAGCAAACCAAGAGCAAGCCTTGGGGGCCATTTATCACCAGCATTAGCAGTTGCTTCTGGAGCTCTTAGCCCACACATGGTAGAGGGATCAAACAACTGGTCAGAAGAAGGTTACAGGAGTCTTTTTGCTGGTACTGCAGGCAGGACTCTTTTGCTTTGCCTGTACACGGATCTGGGTGTCAGTCCCATGGTGAAAAGGAGCACTGGCACAACATTGAAAACTTATAAGTCCCTGGAAGTATCTCTGAAAACAGCTAAAAAAAAAAACCCTAAAAACTTGGGACAGTGTATCCTCCACTGTGGAAGCAGACCTTTACTTTAACAGAGAGTTAAAAGTCAAGAAGTGGCTGGAAAATAAGCAAACAACAGAAAAAAAAATTCTGCCCAGTCACTATTGTGACAAGGAAAATCAAGACATCTACTCAGAAGAAGACAAGAAAATCAAAACTCCTACATCCAAAGCCTTCAAGAAAAAATATGAATTAGCCTTTGGCCATGGAAGGACTCAAAGAGGATTTTGAAAATTAAGTTAGACAGGAAGAGAAAAAATTGGGAAAAGAAATGAAAGTGATGCAAGAATATCATGAAAAATGAGTCGACAGGTTGGTAAAGGAGACACCAAGAAAATACTGAAAAAAATAACACCTTTAAAAACAGACTAGACCAAATGGTAAAAGAGGCACAAAAATTCACTGAATTAAAAACTCCCTAAAAAACAGAATTGACCAAATAGAAAAGGAGGTACAAAAGCTCACTGAAGAAAATAATTCCTTAAAATTAGAATGGAGCAAATGGAAGATAATAGCTTTATGAGAAATGAAGAAGCAATAAAACACAGCCTAAAGAATGAAAAAAAAAATGGAAGACAATATGAAATATCTCTGGAAAAAAACAACTGGCCTGGAAGATAGATTCAGGAGAGATAATCGAAAAAGTTTTGAACTACTTGGAAGCTGCCGTCAGAAAAAAGAGCCTAGACATCAACTTTCAAGAAATTCTCAAGGAAAACTGCCTTGATATTTTGTAACCAAAGCGTAAAATGGAAATTGAAAGAAACCACTGTTCACCTCCTGAAAGAGATCCCCCCAAAAAAACTCCCAGGAATATTATAGCCAAATTCCAGAGTTCCCAGGTCAAGGAGAAAATATTGCAACCAGCCAGAAAGAAGCAATTCAAGTATCGCAGAGCCACAGACAGGACAACACAAGATTAGCAAATTTTACATTAAAGGATTGGAGGGCTTGGAATATGATATTCCATAGTGCAAAGGAGCTAGCATTATAATCAAGAATCACCTGTCCAGCAAAACTGAATATAATCCTTCAGGAGGAAAATGGATATTCAATGAAATGGAGGTCTTTCAAGCATTTTTGATGAAAAGATGAGATCTGAATAGATAATTTAATTTTCAAATACAAGACTCAAGAGAAGCATAAAATGGTAAATAGGTAAGAATAATCATAAGGGAATCATAAGAATAATCATGAGAACCAGATACTTGTAACTCGTAAGAAATTACTCATTAGTAGAGCAATTAGGAGTATATATAAACAGAGGGCACAGGTGTGAGTTGAATATGGAGATATGATACTTACAAAATAAAATTAAAGGGTGAGAAAGTGGAATGCACTGAGAGAAAGGGAAAGAGAGAAGTAGAATGAATAGGGTAAATTAACTCACATAAAATAGGAAAGAAAAAAGTTTTTACAGAGAAGGGGCAAAGTGCGGATGTGGGGGGAAGTGAGTGAACCTTACTCTCATTAGAATTGGCTCAAAGAGGGAATAACATACACAACTAAATTGGGTATAGAAATTTATCTTACCCTACAGGAAAGTAGTAGGGGAAGGAGATAAGAGAAGGAAGGTGATAGAAGAGAGGGCAGATTGGGAGAGGTGGTAATCAGAAGCAAAACAATCTATTGATTGGAGAAATTAAAATTTAAATTTTTGAGGTACTACCTCACATCTATTAGATTTGCTAACAACAAAAAAGAGAGTGACAAATGTTGTAAAATAAGTGGGGGAAATGAGACATCAACGCACTGTTGGTGGACTTGTGAACTGATTTTGGGGAGCGACAGAGTGAAAGGAGGGAGAGAATAGAATAAATGGGGGTAATAAGATGGAGGGAAATACAGTTAGCAATCGTAAGTATGAAAAAAAATTTTTGAAGCCAAGTTTGTCTGATAAAAGTCCCATTTCTCAAATATGTAGAGAACTAATTCAAATTTATAAAAAAATAAGTCATTCTCCAATGGATAAATGATCAAAAGATAAGAACAGTCAGTTTTCAGATGTCATAAACAAAATTATCTATAGCCATGTGAAAAAAATGCTCTAAATCACTATTTATTGGAGAAATTAAAATTAAAATTTTTGAGCTACTACCTTACATATATTAGATTGGCTAACAACAGAAAAGGAGAGTGACAAATGTAAAATATGTGGGGGAAATGAGACATCAATGCACTGTTGGTGGACTTGTGAACTGATTCAACCATTCTGTAGAGCAATTTAGAACTATGCCCCATGGATTGTAAAACCATGAATAACCCTTTGACCCAGTAACACTACTACTAGGTCTGTATCCCAAAAGAGATTTTAAAAAAAGGAAAAGGACTTATATGTACAAAAATATTTACAGCATCTCTTTTCTGGTGGCAAAGAATTGGAAATTGAGTGGACACTCATCAATTAGAGAATGGCTAAGGAAGTTGTGTTCAGTGATTGTGATGGAATAATATTGTTCTATAAGAAATGATGAGGAGGATGATCTCAGAAAAACCTGGAAAGATTTACATGAATGGATCCAAATTGAAATTAGTAGAACCAGGAGAACATTGTACACAGTAATAACAATATTGTATGATGAACTGTGAATGACTTAGCTATTCTCAGCTATATAATGATCAAAACAACTTTGAATGACTTATAATGAAAAATGCTATCCATTCCCAGAGAAAGAACTGATGGTGTCAGAAAACAGATGGAAGTATACTTTTTAAATTTTGTTTTTCTTGAGGTTTTACTTTTTGGTCTTTCTTTTACTAATATAGAAATATGTTTTGTATGACTACAGATGTATAATTTATATCAAATTACTTGCCTTCTCAATGAGGGAGCTGTGGAGGGAGGAAGGGAGAAGATTTCTATCAATCAACTAGCATGTATTAAGCACCAGCTTTGTGCCAGCTACTAAGCTGGAGATATAAAGAAAGGTAAAAGATAGTCCCTGCTTCTCAAAGAGCTCACAGGCTAAGGGAGGAGGAAACATACAACACCTTTGTAGAAACAAAATATATACAGGGTAAATCAAAAATAATCTCAGAGGGAAGGAACTAGGATTAATGAAGAATGGTAAGAATCTTCTGTTAGAAGGTGGGCTTTGACTAGGACTTGAAGAAAGCCAAAAGACAGAGGCAAAGTCATAGGAAAAAGCCAGTAAAAATGGTTGGAGTCAGGAGAAGAGTTACCTATGAGGAATAAGTTCCTTCTGTGAAATCCAATCTTCTTAATGTTTGTCTCTGATTGTAGCCTGATAACCTTGAATCTTAATTTATGTCTTTCTGGTGTTACCTATTCTTTTCAACCTTGAGTCATCTGAAAAAAAAAATATCACTTCAGCCAGTGTTTTTGCTAAAAATATAAGAAACAACATTTTGACATTACAAGAGAGTTCTTTTCTTTAGCCATATGTATTCATGGGCAATGTCAGATATGAGAAATTCTCTACCTCATGAGGTTTAAGATGAATCTGGAGGATGGGGATATCTAAAGTATAGACACAATTTAAATTCATGTATCAGTGTACACTTGAATGCAACAAATTGGGTTCACACTGTTAACTGAATCCATAGTAGAGGAAAAATAGTGCACCGCTTTTAATTGAAAATGAATTGATAGAGAAACAGAAATCATGTTGTCCTGTAAATATTCAAAAATCACTAACAAAAGAGCAGATAGGAAAGAAGCTTGGGAAACAGGAATCATGGACAATAATCATAACAGTAAAGGGAGATTGCAACAATCTAGAAATAATTAGGACTTATATGGGTGAAAATATCAGAGCACGTGATAAATTCTAGACATGTTTTCATGATAATTTCATTTTTTCAAAATATGTGCAAAGTGGGGCAGGATGGCTCTCCCAAATGAATCGCTGGCAAAAAGGATGTTTAAAAGAATTTTAGCACTTGAACTTCTTGGAATCACTGGAGCATATTTGCTATTTAATAAAATGAATGCAAATCAAGATTTCAGACATACAATGAGTAAGAGATTTCCCTTAATCTTGGAAGTTTATTACAAATCCAATGAATGGACTGGATTCTATGGAATAAGGGAACATGATCAAAAAGAATGGTTAAACCACAAAAATTAGAACCTCTTCAGTTTGAAGTTTTCTTCTTTCTGAGTCATGAAACTGATCACCTCATTCAGCCTCCTATGAATTGTTTTTATACTTTTGAAGAAAACACCAGCTTGGTTGCATAGTTGCATCGAATGAAGTCTTTGACTAGAAAACATATATACATATGTGTGTATATGTATATATGTTTTTTTAAATTTAAGAAGGCTAGATTCTAGTAAGGCAATTAACATCCTTTAATATTCTGAAACAAGCCAGATGTGGAAGAAAGAAAGAAAAAATTTGCAGTGGAAGTTGTCCTGTCCTAATACATGCTTACTAGTGTAAGGATAATATGGAGTAACTTAAAAATATCAAAAATTGTGACTACATTTAATTTGTATATACATCAGTGTTATAGCATGGCATATGGTAAATTATGTGGTTAATAAAATAAAATCAGGAAAGTTGAAAAAAAAGATTATCAACATAATAAGTGTCAGGGGAAATATTTGATCCTAGGTCCTCTGGCTCCAGATGTAGTGTTCTTTCTGATGTGAAACCAGTCATAGTACCAATGTAGTTTATTCTTATGACAGCATTCCTTCTGAATATATAACACAACTCTAACCCAATCCTTTCAAAAGTTAATTCTGTTTATTTTCAGTAGGTTATATCCTTTTAGAGCTGTATATTAGCAATATGGCTGAAATGGGGAGGAGTCGGTCCTACCCTACCAAGTCTCTATGAAATCTACTTTAAGCATGGTGGAAAGGCAAGCATAGTAGATTTTGTTTATTTTGTATTGCCAGTTTATTTTGTTTCATTTTATTAACTATTTAATATTTTATTTTCCCCAGTTACATATAAAAACAACTTTTAACATTCATTTTTAAAACTTTGAGTTCCAAATTCTTTCCCTTTCTCCCTCTCCCCCCTCCCCAACATTGAGAAGGCAAGCAATTCAATCTAGATTATACATGTGTAGTCATGAAAAACATTTCTATATTAGTAGTGTTGGGAAAGAAAACATAAAAAAAACCCTCAAGAAAAATAGAGTTAAAAAAGTATGTTTTGATCTTTATTCAGACACCATCAGTTCTTTTTCTGGGTATGGATAGCAATTTTCACTGAAGTCCTTCAGAGTTGTCTTGAAACATTGTATTGCTGAGAATAGCTGTCATTCATAGTTGATCATCCTACAATATTGTTGTTACTTTGTACACAGTACATTTCCCTTTGCATCAGCTCATATAAGTCTTTCCAAGTTTTTCCTGAGAGAATCCTATTCATCATTTCTTATAGCATAATAGGTATTCCAACATAACCACATGCCACAATTTGTTCAGCCATTCCCCATTTGATGGGCCTCCCCTCAATTTCTAATTCTTTGCCACCAGAAAAAAGCTACTATAAACATTTTTGTACATATAGCTCCTTTTCATTTTTTAAAATATCTTTTGGAATACAGACCAAGTAGTAGTATTTCTAGGTCAAAGGGGATCCATGGATTTATAGCCCTTTGAGCATAGTTCCAAATTGCTCTATAGAATGGTTGAATAAGTTTAAAATTCCACCAACAGTACAGTAATGTCTCATATCTCATTTTTCCTATATCCCCTCCAACATTTGTCATTTTTCTTTTCTGTCCTATTAGTCAATCTAATATGTGTAAGATAATACCTCAGAATGTCTTAATTTGTATTTCTCCAATCAATAGTGATTTGGAGCATTTTTTTAAAATATGGCTATAGATAGCTTTGATCACGTCATCTGAAAACTGACTGTTCATATCTTGTGATCATTTATCAGTTAGGGAATGGCTCTTATTTTTATAAATTTGACTCAGTTCTCTATATATTTGAGAAATGAGCCCTTTATCAGAAAAACTTACTTCAAATTTTTTTTCAAAGTTACTATTGTTAACTGTATTTCCCTCCAGCGGATTTTATTTATAATCCTACAAAATTATCCTCACCTTCTCTTCTTATTGGAAGCAAGGTACTCTGTTTTCAATACCTTTTTATTTGTATTGTCAGTTTGTATAACCAATATCTATGGCAAATTTCTGAGACAAATTATTTGTAGCCTTTTCCTGTCAGCCTCTATGTGGACACAGCTAGCCAGAGTGTATCAGCATAGTTTTATTAAATTGTAGCAAACCTCAAGCCTTTTCATATTAAAATTGATTTTAATTTTTAAATGTTTTATTATTTTCTTTTCTTCTTATACCACAATAATTTCCCAATGAATCAAGAAAGGCAAATTGGTATAAAAACACTTGGTTATACCTTATGCAACATTCAGCATTAGTAATACCACCCTTTACTAAGAGTAATGTTTAACATAACCTTTTCTCTAAAACTAGGATTAATCATTAGATTTAGTCTGAATCCCCCTGTTTTAGTGTCATTTTAATTCATACTATTGTAGTCCTATGACAAAAAAGGGGGAAATATGAATATTTTAACTTACTGGACTTTTTTTTCTCTTTGATCTCCTTTGAGTCCTATAGTAAGATAACTGGATCAAGGGATATGATCAGTCTAACAACTTTTCTCACATAATTTCAGATCATTTTCCATGACAATTAGACAAATTCAAAGATCTAAAAGTGTAAGTGTGCTTAAATTTCCATAGAAATGTCAATACTATTTCTCTCTTTTTGTCATTTGTCAATTCGATGAGTATAAAGTGAAACCCCAGAAATTTTGAATTTACACTTCTCTTATTATTAGTAGTTTGAAAGCTTTGTTCATATGGTTATTTATGGTTTGACTTTCTTACTTTGAAAGATTTTTATATTGGGAACGTCTAGTCTTTTTTCTTGAATTAATCCTGGCTTGCTCATTTGTTTGAGATGGGTACTTATATGCCTTCTCCCCACAGCTCAATAACATGTATATTACGTAAAATCAAAGTCAGATAACAGAAGGTGAATACAAAAAATGGTGTCATAAGCATTAAGTATTAAGAATAAGTTGATGTTAGTGATAAATGCTAAAGAAATAAAACAGGCTTCTTTTTAGCCATATTAAAGTTAAAAAGAGCAATAAAAGCACTGGGCCATTGCTCAGAGTGGCTTAAATGATGATAACATGTTACTCCAATAAAGTATTAGTATGCATTTTTGTTTTGCTATTTTCCTTTGTTACAAGGGAGAGTTCAATCTAAAGGTAGAGAGAGCTTTTTTTATTTCCTCCCTGAAATGACTTTGATACAATAACAAAAGGACATTGCTGCAATGCATTTTAGAAAGAAAGAAAAATATACTTAATTTTCAATCAGTTTATTTATTTTTAGATATTGAGAATAGTACTTTTATTATAGAGTTTGCTCTCACTAATCAACCTTGGACATTAGTCTTCACTACCTTAAAATAATTTGGTAGTTCATCAAAAGAAATGTCAAAGCTTTTGGGTTAAAGACCTCGTATCTTAGAACTGAAATAATTAAAATCCAGAATCAGGGAGCTGTATGGGAGCTTTTAATAGTAATTTAATATAGTAAAGAGGAGTGCACTTAAATCATTCAAGATCAACCACAGCTATACTCATTCTAATTCTTTGATATTGATATTAGAAAAATATTTTATTAACGTGATATGTAGACTATTTCTAACAGCAGGAAGAGAAGAAGTATAGTTGAATATGAGAAAATTGAAAAGATTTTATTATAATGTTTGGATTAGACAATACTATAGTCACTTCCATTTTGTACCCTGCTTTACATGCATTTCTTTCTTAAAAGCCCTAACATTAGGAACCCCCATTCCCCAAGGCCACATGGTATGTAAAAGGAACATCAGATATATTACAAGACATAGATTAAAATCATAATCTCTATCACTTTTTATTTATCTGACTTTGAAGTAAGTAACTTAACCTCTCCAGTTTTTAGTTTCCTAATCTGTAAAATGAGATGCTTGCAGTAGAAGACCTATGGAATTAATCATTTAGTCAATAAAAACTCAAGTGTCTAATATGTGCCAGGCACTTTGCTAAATGCTGGATATACAAAGAAAGGTAAAAGATAGCCCCTGCTCTCAATGGCTCACCTCTAATGTGAAAAGGTCTGTTCTAGCTCTCAATCTATGATCCTATGATCTGCAAAAATATTCCTGATTAGCAATTTTGTTTTATTCTGCCCTAATTTGTAGGTCAAATAAGTGCTCTTAGCCTACTTAATTCTGTGCTTATATCACACTTTCAATACTGCTGAATATCAAATCAATTTCATCAATCATAGCACACTGGGAAGTTGCAATGGGCAACTAAGTAGCACAGTGGATAGAGTGCTGGGCCTAGTCAGAAAGACTCATCTCCCTGAGTTTAAATCTAGCCTCAGACATTTACTAGCTATGTGAACTTGAACAAGTCACTTAACTCTATTTGCCTCAGTTTCCTCACCTATAAAATGAGCTTGAGAAGGAAATGGCAAACCACTCTATTATTTCTCCCAAGAAAACACCAAATGGTGTCATGAAGAGTCAGACATGATTGAAAAGACTGAACAACAATAACTGGAAATTATAATATATTTTTATAACTTGTACATAAAGACAAATGTTAAATAAGGAAAGAAAAAAATGAATAGTATGTTTACTGAGTTCAGGGCTGAAAATGGAATTGCTTTCCACTAGAGTAACTAGTAGGCTATATTCATTGACCTTGGAACTGATCAACACTGTTAAGTTACCAGTAAGCTTCTGTATGACCTTTTTTGACCCAAACAAGCTGGACATTGAGAAAGACTACCTCATTAGACTCTCTGACTTTTCCTCTAAAACTTGGTGGGCAAAGGGCAACTGATTAAAAGTCTGCCACCCAGGCATAACTTTTCCGCCACTATAAATATTGTGAATGTGCTACTCTTTGTTTCTTCTTAAATTCAAGACAATAATTTATCCAAAAGTAGTTTTTTGTTACCCAAAGTGATTTGAAAATTTACCATATAAGGGGAATACATCAGGTTTGTGTATTTTCTTCTTTATTTTTCTTTTCTTGCAAGTAAAGGCTCCTATTCAATTTATTGAGCAGCTCATATTCATTCTACAGAGGGTATATCTCAAGGATG